ATGTGAATGGAACATGTATTTGAATAAGTTAATAGTGGTTTTAAAGAATTGATTTTTGAGAGATTGTATGTGGAAGTAAGATGACACTGATGGTATAAAAATAAAAGTATTCCTGAAAACTGCTGTAAAAAGCACTTGATGGTGGTTGCTATGCAGTAGGAATATTTTACCTTGATTAGTACTCTTAGGGTTATTTGATGTTAACTTAGTAATTTTGGAGGTGGATGAGGAAGAAATTGCCTGTCATCTGCAAATGTGCGGTGAAGGTAAGACCATAAATAGAAATGACAAAAAAAAGTCTTTCCCTCATTCCCCCCCCCAATCTCTCTCGTGTAACTGACTAAATTAGTATTTATTTAACTCAGAGCAGAGTGTTCTCTGAGTCATACTTCATGAATTCTAGATTTGTTTTACCCCTTTGTCATTTTTTGTTGTTGTTAATGCTAAACTTACAATCATTGATATTCTTGCTAAAATGTGCACTTACCGATGCTAGCTTTCTTTGAACTAGGCTTAATCTTCTGTGACTAATTATTGAATTCATGTTAAGTTCATTTTGTAGTCTGCTAGGGCTGCCATAACAAAGTACCACAGACTTGGCGCCTTAAACAGAAATCTGTTTTCACAGTTCTAGAAGCTTGAAGTGCAAAGATCAAGGTGTCAGTTTCTCTGGTGAGGCCCCTCTTCCTGGCTTGCAGAGGGTTTGCTTGCTGTTTCTCACATGACCTTTCCTCGCTGTGCACATCTAGCTAGAGGGAGGGAAAGAGGGAGAGGGATGTCTCTTCCTACTGGAACAGGGCCCCATCCTTATGACTTCATTTAACCTTAACTATCTTCTCAAAGGACGTGTCTCCAAATAAAGTCACACTGGGGATTAGGGGTTCAACATATAAATGGGGGGGCACAGTTCAGTCCATATATTAATGTTACACGTAGTAGTCACTTCAGTAATGTTTATTTTATGTTAAGAAAATACAGTGAGTCTCAGTAAAACATTTTTACTGGAGGAGAAAAAACCTCATGCTATTTATGTTCTCTACACCTACACTTTCTCACCTATAAAACAAGGGAATTGGGTCAGTTTGTTTTGGAACACTGAAATTCTCAGTTCCTTCAGTTTAGAGTGACTTCTAACATTACTCAGCAGATAGGATATAAGAGGTGTCTTGTAATAGAAATTGATCTTGTATAAATTAGCATTCTGCCAACTTCTCACAAATGAAATAAAAAACATAATTATTCTGTATACCTCTAAATTCTGATATGGACACTCTGTTCATCTAGCTATGCTAGTTAGGTTTTATTACGTATAATTTAAAGATTTGGTTGTGCCATGTTTCTCTTTTTGTTTCAGTAAATAATGCACTTTATTTATACAATATAATTTATCTTTCATGAGTAAGTTTCATTATAATGGATTGAAGTAATACAACATGTATAGAGAGCAAAATATGAGAATTTCTCTCATCCTCCCTCTTTCAAAGGAAATGACCACAATTAACAGTTTGAAATGTATCCTTGAAATCTTATTTCTGTGAATGAACGTAAGAATATTTATATATGCATTTTTAATAAATGAAATCATGCTGTATATATTCTGTTATCTAAAATTTTTTCCTCAACAGTGTCTTTTGGGAATTTGATACATACTAGGATGTATATGTAGTATTTTTTAAGTGGCTACATAGGGTTACACAGTATTATTGTAATTTATTTAACTATTCTTTTGTTGGACATCACTTTGTTTTCTTTATCACTGTTCAGAATAATGGTGCATGAACATCCTTGCATGTACATCCATTTGTGCAGACTCCTTTAGGACATATTTCCCATGTGAGATTGAACACACTGAACATTTGGTCACTACTGATTGTCTTTGAAAATGCTTTACAAATTTACATTTCTACCAACAGGAGTGAGAGCGTTCATTTACCTTCACCATTGCCAAAATAATATAGTATTTTAAAATTGCTTCCAATGTGATGGTTGAAAAATTATATTTCATTAAAGTTGGATTTACCTGATATCTAGCATATTGAGCATCCTTTTATGTGTTCATTGGTCATTTGTATCTCTGAATTGCTCTAATTTACCCATTCATCTTTTGAGGTATATTTTTAATATTGATTTGTAAGAATTTTTAAAAATATATTTTGCATATGAATCATTTATTCACATGCAAGATAAGTGCTAAAATGTATATTTATCTATGCTAGCTTTCTTTGAACTAGGCTTAGTCTTCTGTGAGTAAATGTTGCAGATATGTTTTTCCTGTCTTTTCTTCTCTTTTCTTTTAGCTTATGGTATCTTGTGGAATGGAGATATTTCATTTTGTGAGAATACTAGTCATTCCCTTTATGACCTCTGTTTTCTGTGGTGTTTAGGAAGGCTTTCCCCATGTAGAGTTACTTAATTTTTTTCTGGTATTTTATAATATTGTTTCTTTTTTCTGTTCTGCTTTTTTAAAAACATCAATCTACTATCTCTTAAACCCCTCCAACTGGGAACCTGGCCTGCAATCCAGGCATATGCCCTGACTGGGAACCAAACCAGCAACTTTTCAGTCCACAGGCCACCACTCAATCTACTGAGCCACGTCAGCCAGGGCTATAATATTGTTTCTTTAACTTCATCTGGAGTTTTATTAAATGTATGGTCAATGAACCCAACCCTGTTTGTTATTTAGTACATTCTTTTCACACTGAGTTGAAATCACCTTTATTTTAATCTAAATCTCTGCATATATACAGATTTATTTCTGGACACTCTCTTCTGTTCTTTTCATTTTGTTTTTATAATTTCTTTACCAATAGTGTACTTCTAATTGCTGTTAGTTTACTATGTCTTTTGAAATCTGAGACAAGGATATTTTCATTCATTTAACTTATTTTGTATCACTGTTCTTGCTGTTTTTAATCTAGCTTTTTCCCCTCTTTACTCTGTTTGCTGTTACTTCTCAGAGTTGTAGAAACCTTACTAAAGCCTTCTGATTTGTGGCACTTAAGTTATATGTGAACTAGAAAACTACATAATAGACCGTGGTATTTTAGGCAAAACAGTCTCTAAATTGAGAAAATGAAGACTTCACATGAGAATGATTTATGGGTAGAATGTTCATACTTTAGTACATAAAACTTATTTCATATGTTTTAGTTTCTTAGAGGCTTAGATTTTTCATTTCTAGGTTCTTAGTAATATTTTAAATAGTTGAAGTTGCTGAATATGCAGTCTCTATATAAACATTAATATTGTTAAAGCAGCTATATATTGTTTGCTGAACAACTTTGTTTATTTCTATCAATGAAGAAATAGGTTAGGTTAATGAAAGTTGCCTGTTAACAGAGAAACAAAGTAAATATGACCAAGCCCATTTTTTGCTTTAGGGTTTTCTTTCCTAACAATACAGCAGAGAATAAAAGAAAAAGAAATAGTAGGTAATTAAGAAGTATAATAAGGTATTATTTTAAATTAGCTATAGCCAGGTGCTATTATAAGCAGCATCATTACCATGGGGCACTTTTAACTCAAGGTCAGCTTTTTAAAAAGGTTTGACTTGCTTTGTGCTCTGAAAAAAATAATTCTCAGTGGCCTTGGGCAGCTGTAGCCTTTGTTGTACCTAAATTGCTGAGTGTACACGAGAAACTTACAGTGGCATCCTTTCTTTACTGCAAAATCAATAGAATCCTGCATTATCTGTTCAGCTCTAAAGCATAAGAAATAGATTATTAAAAGTTAATGTTTTACATAGTACTAATTTGTTTATGTTTTTGTTATATGAATAAAGTGAATAGATTTGATTTGCTCTTTAGAACTTCATTCTAAGCTTTTAAAAAAATCTCCGGTAGTATTAATTAGTATGTATATGTGTGTGTTGCATAGTACTCAGGGAAATATTATTTCTTATTCCTGGATAGGTGGACTATTTAAGGGTTTCTGGGATTGCTCTAAGATTTGGGGGACCTGAGAGACAAAAGCACCTATAGTTTTTCTAGACATTTCAAGCTCAGAGTGCCCCAGAAACCTGGAAATGAGTGGTTCTATATTGTGATTAGTATCTGGAGTCTAGTCGGACTTCACTTGGGCACGAAACATACGAAACATACCGTTTTAGGTTGGGGCTTCCTGAAGCTGCGTATACTTGTACTCACAGGAGTCAGTAAATCAGTGTGCTATGTCAGAACTCACGTAGGGAATCTAGGCTGCAGAGACTGACACTGATTGGCACACACAACCTTTTAAAAATGTCTAGATTTATGGCTTCTTCTGAAAATTTGGAAGATCTGACAACCTGGGCCCCATGTCACCACATGGCAGCAACTAACCAGATGGACACGTGCTTTCCAATTTGCCAGAATCCGTACCATTCCTTGTCCTAAAGGTGGCTGTTTCCATTTATCACCGTATTTGCATAGTCACCCACTTGCTTAATTCTTTATGTTTCTACCCAGCATCTGAAGGTTTGGAATACCTAATTTAAATCTTACTGTCTGTCTGCATGTCTTTTTCTATGCCTTGTACAGTCAAAGTAAAAATGAGTAGATAGCAGTGTAATATTGTTAGAGTAGTCAACTCATTTTTTCCAGAAACATATGACATATCCATGCCTTCATGTTCTCTTGCATCTCTTTTTTTCCTGAAATATCTTATTTGTTCTCCTGCAGAATCCTACTCATTTCAACTGTGAACACCTTGAATCTTCCTTGATCGCCTCTGTCCACAGTAGTGCGTTCTTCTAGTCTCAGGACACTTATTTTCTCTGCCACTATAAATTTATTATAACAGGTATATAGAATGTGGTTCAGCTAAAAAATAATTGTGTTCTTATGAAGAGGACTTTGATTAGTTTTTTCTTAATAAGGTTCACAGTTCATTTTTTTAAAAGAAATCCATATATTGTTGTTATTTTGAAGACTAAGAAGAGTGACTTTAAATTTTATTTCCCTAGTTTTCCTAAATGGCCTTCAAACGTTAAATTTAAATATTGTTTTTCTTGCTTTCAGTTACAGATGAGGACACAGTAAAGAGGTATTTTGCCAAGTTTGAAGAGAAATTTTTTCAAACCTGTGAAAAGGAACTTGCCAAAATCAACACATTTTATTCAGGTGAGTGGGTTTTTTTGGTACAACTACCAGAGACAATTTCTGCTGCTAAAGAAGGAGAAATTCTGCCATGTCATTGTTTAAATATTTGGTCATTGTTGTAAAACTGGGGTTTGTCATTGTCCTACTGTGCCTAAGGGGTATTTTCTGTAGCCAAGGTGGGAATGCATCTGGCCTCAGTGTTTAAGACATTTTTTATGGTAGTTGTCTGTGTGTTGTTGCAGTTGCAAGGATTTGGGACCTCGTTGTAAAGCAGTATCTTGATAGAGCTTCACTATGGCCCAGTCCAAAGCTTTTAAAGAGTCAGAAGCTTATTTCTCTCAGAGCTGGATTACACAGTTTCAACTTTTTAATTACAGCAGTTCTGTGCCCTCCCATTGCATTGTGAAACACTCATGTCTGTCTCTAGAGCACAGTTTGCAGTGGCATCTACAAGATGCTGTTGAAACTGAGAAGAAAATACTAGAACTTTATTTATTTATATTTTACTCTTTTAAATTTTGTATTATATGTTAACTTCCCTACTCTTTATTTTATTTTATTGTTGTTCAAGTTTAGTTGTCTCCATTTTGACCCCACCACATCCCCCTGCTCCTCCCATCCCCACATTTTTTTTCTGTCCCACAGAACTCAGGTTCCTGGAATCCCTCATTGTATTCCAGTTGAACAGATCCCTCCCAGAGTTACTTCCATCTCCATCAGTCATTTTAACCACTTTCATCCCTTGTACTTATCATGCCTTTTCCCTTATTGCTTTGTAATGCTTCTGCCTGGCAAGAAACTCCAGCTGGACTGATCCAGCCATTGACTTTTTTTGTGTGTACCCTGAGCTGCTTAGGACAGCTGGGAAAAAATCATGTAGCAGAACAGATTTGAACCACTATAAATTCATTGTTGCATTCTTAACCATGTCCTCAAACCTGCCTATGGGTCCTGATCAGTGTCCTTTGGCATGCTCCAAAGTGCTCTTCTAAACCCTGTACCATTCTGTTGAGCTCTCTGACCTCACCGTCTTCCCCATCATGCTCATTAACCTTCTACCTCACCAATAAAAATAAAGGCCTTCAACTCCTGTTGGTGTATGATACTTAGGAATGCCATGTATTCCTCCCCACATTACCTATGGCCATTCTTACCCTTATTAATTTCCCTCCAATCTTTGTAGACAAGATGTCCCTTGACAGTGCCTGCCACATCTCTACAACTGCTGATTAAATTTCAGTTCCTTGAGACCTTAGTCCTCAATTTGTCTCCTTTAAGAATTATTGAATAAACGCATTGTTAACTTCCCTTTTTATTGGTTTAGCCTCCTTAGTAAGTCACTCCCTTCAAACAAAAAATAAGTAAATAAAAAGGGAAGCAAATATCGTAACTTTGTGTCCTCCTCCTCCTCATCTTTCATTGATGGCTGGACTTCTTCCTAGGCAGAAGGAACAGTCTATGCAAAGGCACAGGCCATTACAGCACATGGCATATATACATGTCCTCTTCAGTACGTTACAAGCACCTGGAAGGCAGAGACAAAATAGAAATATTTGAAACCATGCAAATGTATAAATTTTCAGCAAGGGGAAAATGCACAGAAGGAATGGTGATTTTTCAAGGACAAAGATCATTTCCATAATTAGCAGGCAGGAGGGTAAAGAGGAACCAGCAGTACAGCCATGAGCTGTCGGCTGAGGAAGAGCAGACTGAAAGAGGAAGGCATTTGCAGTGGAAAGAGCATTGACACTGAGAAAAGGCCACTGGGCATGATCTAAGGCTGTAAATGAAAAAAAAAATGAGGTAAAGGTTATTAGCATTTTATTATAATTTTTTTGGAAAAGATTTCTGTGTCCACCTCACTTAGATCACAAAGGATAGATGATACATTGTAGTTCACAAAGAAAAATACTCTTAATAGATACATAACTTTTATGTTTTGAGTTATAAATAGATATGTATGTTTTGTATATGTTTGTATGCATCTATATATGTGTGTATGTATAATATATTTAAATAACTTTTTCATGAAACAATACTTATCCTTACTACTACCCAATACTATTTTTCATATTTAATTATTTCTATTTGATCTTTAAAATCCTGATTTATGATCCACTAAGTTGCTTCTATGACCCCATATTGAATTATATAGAACACTCAGTTTGAAAAATGGTATCTTAGACTTGGTTACTTTTCAGAAACAATTTTAAGCTTTCTGCTATTAAAAACTTGGGGCCTGTGACTTAATGACTCCCTTTTTCTATGTGTATTGGAAAGGCCACTCAGGTATATCTCTTAATGGCATCACAGAGTAGGTACAAATTTTCATAGTCTTCAGACTCACTTTTTGCCAGGTCAGGAAGTGATGGGTAATATGAACACATGATTGACAGAAATAAAATTTGGCACTCATCCTACATAGTATCATTTGTCTCATTGTTTAGCTGCTTTTTTTTTCATGGCAGATTGTCTGGTAAACTGCAATCCTCACACACTAGGGCACATGAGAAACTGAATTTAATACCATGGTGAGGTCAGCTTAGGCACCTACCTCCACCCACTTACATCTCACAAAAATATGTAATAGTCAACTAAAATGGTCATTTTTAAGTGAGATATAGTCTTGACTGCAACCTTTTAGTACCCAAAACAGACACCATAAAAGCCAAACAAAACATGGAATGAATACTGCTAAAATGTGGATATTTATTTTCACACCAATTCTATTACCTACCAAATTACATGTTGAATTTCTGAACCTTACTATTTTTGGAAGAAGTTTACCATTTAATCTTCCTAGGCCTGCATGTATACTTGCTTGTAAAATGAGCAAATTGATTCCCAACCTTCTAGGGTCATGTGAGGAGTCAGAAACTATTTTCACTATTTTAGAAAACCTGATGTAAGTTATTCATCACTCTTTATTTATTACATATCTTTGGTTAATAAGATGTGGGCATTTATTTAGATTTATAGATAAAATCTATTAATATTTGAAGACCCTGGGACAAGAGGGTAATTTTTGAAGGGAGGCATCCTTTTTGGTAATAATGTTGCTAATCACTGACCTAGAATCGTGAAGGCTGTAGTGTTATAAACTTCCTGGTGACATTATGTCCTTTTTCAAGTAATCCTAAACACTTTGTGTTACATCTTTCTCTTTTCTTGGACCAGTTTGCTTTCTCTTGTCATTCAAAAAACTTAGCTTCTCAGCGGTATTTTTATGTGCCTACATTAAAAAAAAAAACCTTAGAATATAGGTCTGTTGTTTTTAATATTTCATGATTAAAACAGGCAAACCCCTTCTTTTTATTGGTTGGAATGTTTTAAATAGATCAGTATGAGCTTTTTCCTTTGTTTATAAACAACTTCAGAGTTTTGGGGTTTTTTTCCTGGTCTGTCCTAATTTTTTAGCTTCAGTTATTATGTTAGGAACTCACAGCAGTGCTATATGCTTTGCCTTTCTGTACAAAAAAGAAGGGATGGAAGGAAAGAAGAAAGGAGATTGTAGTAGTGTTATATTTATAAGTCAGAAATTATGGCAATAGAAACAGATTTATTTATTGGCTGTTAAATATTTTCAGGCTTCATATAAATAAAAGAGCAATTGGATAGTTACTCAGAACTATTCCTATTATATAGTTATTCCTATAATCCTATTACACAGCATCTTGCTATATATTTTTTATTCTTATTGAATTTGAGACACTATATATTGTTTTGCCACTGAGTATGTATGATGAAACATAAGAATCTCACTGAAATACTAAATGTTCCTTTCATCCTTTCATAAGTGATTATATGTATCTAGTACCCACATTTTAAATTAGGACTTAATGGCTAGTTTTGTTCTTTGCTTTTATGTGCGTTAAAATGGAAATTACATATATATTTTATTAACTAGGGTAAAATCCCCATTGTTTTTCCTATATCATGAATCTCTTGAGTCTTGAGTATATTACAGCAGAGTCAGCTACTTAAGAGCTATTAAAAGATGGAGGGTAGAGGGAGAGTGATTTAAAGCAGTCAGCCTGGCTTGCTTTCTGGTTAACGTATCTGATGAAAATTGAAATTATTTATATACTGTCCACAGTATATTTTGCTTTCTCTATTTCATTAAAAAGTGATTAATAGGTTTCTGTTAAAATCAAGCTATGTGAAACCAACTTCATTTTCTTTGCTTCCTTCTTCCTTCCCTTCTTTTCTCTACCTTGTTTCCCCTACCTACCCCCCAGACCCTGGCAACCACTAATCTACTTCCTGTCTGTATGGATTTACCTGTTCTGACATTTCCTATAAATGGAATCATGCAATAAGTGTGCCTGGCTTCTTTCACTTAACATGATGTCTTTGAGATTCATCCATGTTGTAGCATAAATCAGAACTTCATTCATTTTTATGGCTAAATAATATTCCATTGTACATATATATACTGTATTTGACATCCATTCATCAGTTAATGGACATATGGATTGTTTCCACTTCTTAACTGTTAGGAATACTAGTTTGTGTATGTGCACAAGTTTTTGTGTGAACGTATGTTTTCAGTTCTCTTGGGTATGTGCATAGGAGTGGAATTGCTGGATCTTAAGGTTACTGTTGAGCCTTTTAAGAACTGACAAGCTACCAGATTACAATGTGGCTGTACCACCTTAGTGGCTTTTAAAATTCTGTATCTTCATTTGTAAAAAGAAAGGGTACAACTGAGGTGTTGTAGAGAGGGAAGTGTGGGATAGAATGAAAGGAAGGTATTAAAACATTTTTTTTCCTGTCCAGTTCTAAATATTACATGTAACCTTTTTCCCTAGAAATTTTAGGGAAACAAACTAGAATAATTAGTAAAAATTCAGACAAGTCAGTGGTACCTTCACCACCATTTTTATCGTGATAATTTGACAATCCTGTTTTTTATTTCTTATAGAAAAGCTCGCAGAGGCTCAGCGCAGGTTTGCTACACTTCAGAATGAGCTGCAGTCGTCACTGGATGCGCAGAAAGAAAGCACTGGTGTCACTACGCTGCGACAGCGCAGAAAGCCAGTCTTCCACCTGTCCCACGAGGAACGTGTCCAACACAGGAATATTAAAGACCTTAAACTGGCCTTCAGCGAGTTCTACCTCAGTCTTATCCTGCTGCAGAACTATCAGGTACTTAGATTCTTACCCTGGAAGATAGAGCCTTTAAGCAACTGAGAAATTATAGTAAGTGGAATTACCTTGAGCAGTACTGATGGGCCAGTCCAGAAAGGAAAATCCTTAGCATGCCTTTGTTCTTTAGGTTCTTACTGGGATTTCTGATGTTCTTATTGATGGAAACCACATTATCAGAAATGGTCAAGTAGAGCAATAAGACTTATTTATTACGGACTGCTTATAAATAAATAAATTCCAATAAATAATTCTATTTATTTAAATAAAATGAATTTATAAATATTTATTAATAAATGTTTATAAATAAAGATAATGACTGTTTAACTTGCCACTAAAACCCTTTCAGTTTTATTAATCACAAGCTGCAACATAACATTGTTTTAATCTTGCCGATAAAATCATTAAATCACAGCAAATGTTTTATACAGACTGAACATCTAAGCTGTTATATTATTTAGTATTTTAAAAATCCAGTCTGAAACATTGAACCATCATGTATGCAATATTTTGGAATTACAGGACATTTATTCATTTGCAATTCTTTATAGATTTGTTTATATAGTTAAATCTGTAAAGAATTTATTGAAAAACATGATTTGTTCAATAATAAAATTTTAAATTAGGCAAAAGTACCCTTCTAATCTTTAGAGAGACCTTATGCACTATTCTTTTTTCATTTTGTTCTTGTGATTAGTACTTGTAATCAGTGGTTAGAAGCATCACAGGGTTATGTATTGTATAAAAACTGAATGTTATATAACAAAAGTATTACCGGGGTAAATCCTGGAAATTTAAAATAAAAAGTCCATGTAGTCTCATGTCTGCATCAGTCTAAGTTGTTAATCCATGTACTTATTTCTTTCTTTCCCTTTTGTAATTTTGCTTTCTTCTTTGGTGGTTTAGTACTTTATCATTGAAAGAACCACCCAATTAGAAAGTAATTTTAGAAGACTAGAAAAATAATTATATAAAATATATATGAAAGGAAATTCCTTTCCTTTAAATTTACCCATTAGCTTTATGGTTTATTTTTAAAAAGAAAAAAATGTATTTCTTCTTTCTTATAAAATGTTAATATTTTATATTTCATTAAATATGCTTGTGTATTACAGGGAAATACATTTGTTAATTTTTTTAACTTTTCCAGAAGCTTTTGTTTTGGCTTATTATAAAACGTTGCTTGGGAAAATGAAAATAATTGTTGTGTAAGTTTTGATCTGTCCTCTATTCTTTGAAGCTGTTTATTCAGTAAGACTACATTTATTTTGAGAATGAGGAGAAAGTTGATGGAAAACAGTCTACAAGTTATGGTGTATGCACCCCAAGTAGAATTCAAGATGATCCATTAAAGTATGAGAAAAAAGTATGATCCATTAAAGTACGAATTATAAGCAAGCAAACAAAGCCTAGTTAGGAGTGAGGGCCCATCTTTTCAGTAATGTGGATATGTGATCAACAACTTTGGGAGAACTCTGGTTTACAGAACCTTGCACGTCCACGGTTTCCTGCTTTTTTGCATGTTGATCAAACAACAGAATTTGAGAATATAGAAAAGTAGGATTTTGATATTATAGAAATGGAGGAAAAATACTAGCTTCTATCCATTATCAGCAAAACTGTAAGTATGATCACTTCTTTTCTACTGATTCGCCTTTGCATTCCCATCCCCGAACTGAGAATGAATGGAAGCAAAATGAAAGTTAAGAAAAATAGCTAATCTGTTTTCCAAGCTGGTTTGTACGTGCTTGCATTGTAGTGGGGGCAAACAGATTCTCTGAAATTGAAATAATAAGGTTTATATTTAGGGTTTCTTTTGATTACTGATAAAATACTACCTTGAAATGAATAAATAAAATAAAGAAGAGTCTCATCCTTTCAGTGAGTGCTTTTATGACAGCATTGCCATTTCTTTCGGTCCTCAACCTTCAGTAAGCGCTGTGTACACATGGTGCTTATTATCCGTCTTGCATCTTCTTTGATGGTGGTGGAAATTATAGTAGTGTTTCTCTTTTTTTCCTGTAGAATCTGAATTTTACAGGGTTTCGAAAAATCCTTAAAAAGCATGACAAGATCTTGGAAACATCTCGTGGAGCAGATTGGCGAGTAGCTCATGTAGAAGTGGCCCCATTTTATACATGCAAGAAAATCAACCAGCTCATCTCTGAAACTGAGGTATATTAATTTGACTCAGATGCCATATATTTTCAATAACTTACATGTCTTATTTTTAATCAAATAATTCCTCATATCTGTTCTCTATTATAATTGATTCTACCTTTAAATATATACATACATACACTGGGTTTGGCAGAAGTAAGACCTACTTGAGTGTGGTTGGTAGAGTAAAAATATGGGTGTAATAATTTATAGTTTTAATTTGAACGTTTCACCTAAAATGTCATACTATGGGCTTGAGTGTGAGTGATATTGTATTGTTACAGAATTACATGCTTATGATTTTGTAATAAAAAGGGGGCATTATTTGTGCCAGACTCTGTATTCTTGCTCACGATTTTATTCTTTAATCAGTACTCATTCACCAAGAGGTTACCCAAGTACCATGTTTATAAATGGTTCAGAATTATTTGCTCATTACTCAAGTTCAGTATAACTTGTGTCAAAATTTAATGATGTGTCTTCCTAGGCCGTGGTGACCAATGAACTTGAAGATGGTGACAGACAAAAAGCTATGAAGCGTTTACGTGTTCCCCCTTTGGGAGCTGCTCAGGTTAGCATTTGTTTCTGGTTGTTTGGTTGTATTTGCCGATTTAATAAGCAGTACAGTATGTTTAGCTGATGAAATATATACTGATTTGGTTACTTTAAAAAATGTTTCAAAGTGTTTAAGTAGTTAATACTATTCTTATTTTTGTATTAAAAAATTAGATGCCAGATCTCACTTCGTAATGAATTATAATGTCTTCCCACCTATCTCTTCTATCCTGTACTTGTTTATTTTTATTGACATGCTAACTTCATTCTCACCAAATGATTGAGATGTGTATTTAATGATGGGAGGTATCAGATGTGTTGGGCTATTATATAGCTTCATCCAAAATACAGCAGTTAAACCTACAAAAGCATTTATTAAATGATGTTTGTTATACCAGAAAACATTTAAGTGGTATCTTCTGTGTCATAAGTTTCAATAAACTAAAAAGGATTTAAATCATAGAATGGTAATCAATAACAGAAAGAGCTTTTTTAATCTCATCCCAATGAAAGGCATTTACAAGAAATATACAATTAATATCATATTCTACTTCATGGTAAAGCACTGAATGCTTTCTAAGAACAAAAAAAGATATTCACTTTTCTAGATACTCTCTTTGTCCTAGAGATTATAGCCAATGCAGTCATGTAAGAAAGAGAAATAAGAGGTATTTAGATTAGAAAGAAAGAAGTAAAACAGGTGGGGTTTTTTTGCCAATGACATGATGACATAGAAAATTCATTGAACTTATAGACTAACTGCTAAAACTAATGAGTTTAGCAAAATTGCTGAATACAAGATCAATATATAAAAATCAATTATATTTCTATATATAGTCATGAACAATTGGAAGTCAAAAATTTTTAAAATAATGCTATTTATGATTAAGACAGAATATTTAGGGCTAAGTGTAACGAAAGATGCTCAAGACCTCCAAATTGCAATTAAACTTTCCTATAAGAAAATCAGTGTATATATAATTCGAAGCCTAAAATTGTAATCTTATTTAGTGACTCAGATTTCTGTAAAAGAATTCAAATAACTGGCAACTCTATTTCTAGTATTATAGAATGATGAAAGATGATTCTATAGTTCAGATTTATAAAAATGCAGGCCATAAAATATTTTTGTTGATTTCATGGTAGAATTTTGAGGCTCATGCTACTGATTTATGACAGCATATACTAAATGTACTCAATATTTTTCCCTGTACCCAAAATTCTGTTTTTCTGTCCATAGCCTGCACCAGCATGGACTACTTTTAGAGTTGGCCTATTTTGTGGAATATTCATTGTATTGAATGTTACCCTTGTGCTTGCCGGTAAGTAAGTAGGTTAAATTTTGAATTAAATTATTTTTACACATATGCCTATGTTGTGTTCTGTCCTGTCAGACCTACTACCAAACTACCAAAGTTATTGAAAGAGAAATCTGTTAGGGCTAAGTTTTTGTTCTTATAAATTATTGGGGGTGGGGGAAGTCATTTGTTCTTCCTTTGCGGTATATTATCCTTTAAAACATTGCTAGTTGATTACTCTTGTTCTCCATCATTTTCCAGAGTTTGTGTACAAATTCTTCACACTTTTTCAGTGTTCATTTATCAAGAACCTTAGGTCCCTTGATCACAGGTGATAGTACATAAGATACTATAAATCATGTACCGATTTATTTACTTTGCTTTTTGGAGACTCTTTCATATCTCTTCTAGAACCTATTTACAGTTACTTTGCATATAATTTTAAGAAGTTTATTATATAGTTTCCTATTCTATAGAGTTAAAAATTAGAAAGAGGTAGGAGGAATTGCTAGAAGCAAGTGCACTCCCAACATCAAGGAATCATTGAACCGCAAGAGGGGCACCATCTTTCTAAACCCACCAACAGAAGCATGTGGCATTGTTGATCACTCCTTGAAAATTTTCTTCAATTGGATTTGCTGGAAAACCACACTCTGCTGGTTTTTCTATTATATTGCACTGGCAGTGCTTTCCCAGTCTCCTTTGCTAGCTGGTTTGTTTTTTTTTTTGGTGACATCTAAATGTTGGGGAATACTACTAGGCTCACTTCTCAAGTCTCCTTCTCTGTTTACATGTATTTATTACCTAGGCAATCTTATTCAGACCCATGGACATAAATACCATCTATGTAATCGTGACTCCCGAGTATGTATAGTCTTTCCTCTGAATGCTACTTAATTGGCTACTTGGATGACTAATAGACATCTCAGACTTACATGGACAATGTTTTTGTAAACCTCAAGTACACTTTCTCTTTAATATGGCATCGCCCTTCATCAGTTTCTCAGGCCAGAAACATTTAGCCTCTCTTTTGCCTTATAATTCATCTCCAGTCCATCAGCAAATCCTGTTGCTCCATCTTCAAAATATGTTCTGAATCAGACCACCTCCACCAGTGTCAGCCTCAATAGTCCAACAGCCTTCTGAACTTGTCTCCCTGCAGCCTCTCTTGGGTCCTTATAGCTACCACTGTCTTTCTTTTAAAAAATAACTTACATTATATCGATTTCCTCTTAAAATCCAGTAATGGCTTCTCTTACAATATTGTTGAAACTTCTCACTACAGCCTATAGGACCCCACAGGAGCTCGCCCCATGGGCCTTTCTGACTTTACATGCTGTCATCCTCCCCACACTCAGTTTTACTCTGTTTTTAACCATACTTGTATTGTTACTATTCCTTGAACACCCCAAGTTCATTCCCATCTACAAACCCTTGCAGTTGCCTAAAAGTCTCTTCCCCAAGATGTCTGCTCTTAATCCCTCACTTCATTCTTATGATCTCTATCTAAATGCCACCACCTCAGTAAGGCCTTTCCTGGTCACCCTACCCTAAAATAGCTTGTTCTGTCCCTTTAGCCTACATTAGTTTTCTTTAGAGCACTTGTATTTACATGGCATAATGTTTTATATTTATGTTTATTAGTATCTGTTTTCCTACTGGCATGTAACTTTCTTGATGCCTGCTCATCTCTCTCCTGTTCACCATTGTATCTCCAGCACCCAGACTACCACCTGGGACATAGTAGGGGTTTACAAAATATTGGTGGAAGTGTGAATGCATGCAAGAGAAAGGACCAAGACAAAGTAAATGATATACAAACACACATACACACAGGGAAAAGACACATCTCAAAGGTTCTTACAATTGAAGACTTTTGCTTTAAGGGCAAATAATCCTGCTATACCCCAAGAGTCTGTGTATTTATCCTTGTAATAATAACTGTGAATCATGAATAAAGGATTGAATTCTGCTTAGTGAAACCAGCAAATGTACATGACTTAGAACTAGATGTTATTGTATAAATCTTCATTGTACTCTGTTTTGGACTTTTAGTAATCATAATCATGCAAACATCATGTACTCTTCATGTGTCTATGGCAAGTTCCTAACACAGTGTCAGATATATAGCAGATGCTCAAGAAATAATTTTATGGGACACATTATTCCTCACAAACATTCTTCTCTAAGATTGTTAGTTGCACATTATCAAATTTTAACCCAAGTTGTCATGGCTTTTAGAGAGTGTATGAACTTTACTTATTAATATGTTTTTATTTGTGTTCTTAGTTCTCTTTCAATTACTAAAAATTAACTCTAATAATTATTGTCTGCATAAGCTCAGGATTTAATATTGGTATAATTTATAATTGGTATAATCTAGTTCTATTTCTTCAGATGAATGCAATTGTTATATAGAATGCATGGAAATATTACAATAAAAACCTAGCCCTGGATAATCAAGCCAGCTGTTGTGGAAAGAACACTTACTGGTCTTCAAAAGACCTTGCCTGGGTGTCAGTCCCAACTCCAGTGTTTGTTAATTGTTTTGGCTTTAAGGATATCACTTTACTTCTCTGAAACAGTTTCTTCATTTGTTAAATGAGCTTAATTACTTTGATTTATAGGGTTGTTCCATTCAGCAAGCAAATGTTATGTATCTCACAATTATGCTTGATACCCCTGAGTCTTATGATAGAGATTAAGACATATATTAAAACAATAATACACAAGATAGAAAGTGTTAAATGTTCTAAGCAGGTCAAAGAAACAGTGATTACTTATAAATGAGAGCATCAGGAAAGACTGTAAGGAAGAAATGACATTTATACTGAACACTGATGGAATGAAAGACATTTCAAGAGAAGGAGGCAGATGAGCAGAGATTTTAATTTTAGTTGGGTATAAGGGATGGGGCATAGGAGGAGGGAGTGGGTTATGAAAGAGAGGAGTGATATGTTCACCTAGGTTAAAGGAGAGTATTATTAGATGAGAAGAATGAAAAGATACAATAGCTTGAGATCAGTTCATAGATTTTAGGTTAAGAAGTGTAAGTAAAACATGTTTTTGGTTGGGAAGCACTATGTCAGTATACGAGGTGTGTCCAGAAGGTATCTAGTCATGTAACATGAAAAATAGAGACATTTACTGAAGAATATACAAGAAACATTGTACATAGGACAACAACGCCTCAGTCCCCTTCAAAGGAGGCACCTTGGGACCTCAGACGGTTCTCCCAATTGCTGTCAACTTCCTTGTCACATTTTCCTGAACCTCATCAACAGTCTGAAATCTCTTACCTTTCAAATATGATTTTAGTTTTGGGAAAAGCCAGAAGTCTCAGGGCACCAAATTTGGTCTGTAGCAGGGGCTGAGTCACCTGGGTGATTTGATGTTTTGCCAAAAACTCTGCAGGAGATGAGATACAAGAGCAAGTATGTTGTCGTGATGAAGCTGTCAATCACCAGTTGCCCACAGCTGCAGCCTTCTGAATCATCCAGATAGTTTCTGTGAAGGAAAGTTCAAGCTTAAAGAAAAATTTGATGCAGATTTGTTGCTCTACTCGCTCAGTCTTTTTGAATGTGACAGCCACACGGTACACATGCTCACTCAAGGGTGTCTACCACCCCCACTGACTAGTACAGTGAAGTTGTCATTGTTCACACATGCACATTCGAAACCACTTTCCTTGGCTGCAAAGTTATATCAATGTTGGGCAAACTGTTCTCATTATATTAACAAGCTGGACTTTTTCCGGACAGGCCTTGAATATGGCGTATGTGTGGGAGTTGTTCTTTCTGTAGGGAAAACCTTAGTCATTTGTGGAATTTTTCTTTCATTGCTAAGATGAACATGGTGCTATTATCATCATTAAATAAGACATAAGAATAAATATCATTGTTTTTATGTGAATGAATCAAAAAGGTTTTTAAAATTCAGGGGCAAGATAAGGTTTTGTTTTCTTTCATAAATATAGATTATGTTTTTGTGAGACACTTGGAGTTGTTTTTTAACGTGTTGTTTGTGCATGTGTCCTCTCACCTCAGAGCCCTTCTTGGTCCGATCTTCGTGTTTGTAGGGGAGGCAGGGTAGATGTGGTGAAGCCAGCTGGCTGTTCTTCTTTATCTCCCGGCAGGTGCTTAAAGGATAGCGGTGTTGAGAGGAAACACAGCAGTAGTAATGCGCGTACACACGATTCTTTTTTCACACATTCATGCCAAAAAAGTAGTGTGCAAAAGGTAGTAGTTTATCAGATTTAATAATTTAATAATTTGTCTCAAATTTAAATATGTGTTTCATATATTTACTTTCATGAAAATGAAAAATTACTTGTTTAGATTTTTTAACTTCTGTTATAGATTCCTAATAACCCTAATTTGATACAGTAACAATATACATGTTCCTTTGCAGTCTGTTCGTCAAATAAGAGGTAGAGTACCCCTTTGAAATTATTAATCTGGTCATGTCACTTATATGCAAAATCTTTAATTGGCTTCATACGTAAGAATAAAAGCTTATGTCTTGACAAAGTACTGTGAAGTCCTACCTGACCTGCCCCTGGCTGTCTTTTTACCACTTTATCTCTCATTTATTCCAGTCACAGTGACCTTGGCCTTTTTCCTGTTCCTGGAGCACACCAGGCTCATACCTGTCTTAGGGCCATTTACTTTCCCTTTGCTCAGAGCTCTGTCCTTTCAGAAATTCACAGGATTCAGTCTGTTTTTTTAAGGGAATGCAAATGATCTACAAATATATCCTGAGAGGTCTTCTTGACCATCCTACCTGAAATAGCATGTAACAGCATTCTTTATCTTCTTAGCCTACATTTTTTTCCTTCAAAAACTTGATCACTGTCTGATGTTGTACAGAACAGAAGTTTCCTGAGACCAGTGTTTTGTCTGTTGTTCATTACTTAGTCCCCAGGTCTTAGATTTGTCTAACATATAATAAACACCTAATAAATGTCAAATTAATGAAAAAAATGAAGTTTCCTCGAGTTAAAGGGAAAAATGATATATACAGAATACTCATAATTGACCAAACACTGTTTTAGTCAATATATGTTGTTCACATTTCATCTTCTTAACGAATTTTTAAGAATAGTTAATGCCCCACTTACGAACAAGGAAAGTGAGACTTAGAAAAATTAAATAATTTGCCCTGCTATAGCTAGGATTTGAAATCTGGTTTATTGTGTTTGACCCCAAAACAAAGCTTTCTCTACCCTGTGTTTTTATATTATTAAATGTGCTATGCATTTTAGAGAATACAAAGTTAAATAATAAGTGATTGTTTATATGAAGTAAGTGTATAAGGTAGTACAATGCATAATTAAATATCAAATGAGTGCTACTAACAATAATTTTATAGTGCCCTGGCTGGTGTGGCTCAGTGGATTGAGTGCTGGCCTGGGAACCTGAGTCACTAGTTGGATTCCCAGTCAGGGCACATGCCTGGGTTGTGGGCCAAGTCCCAGTAGGGGGCGCTAAGAGGCAACCACACATTGATGTTTCGTTCCCTCTCTTTCTCCCTCCCTTCCCTTCTCTCTAAAAATAAATAAATAAAATATTTTAAAAATAATAATTTTATAGTTACTTGGAAAAATTGAGAAATTGTCAGCCAAATTGAAATGTTTTGCACATAGTAGGCTCAACATGAAACGTATTAGTTCAGTGAATTAATGAACATATGAGGATCTCTTAATCAGTAGAATTTGAATTGTTGGAAAGAAAGAGCAAGGCCCTTTTATGTACAGGGGACAACACAAGCACATGTGAAATGAGAATTTATTAAAATGATAATAAAGCTCATCAGGAGATAAGAATTAAATGTTTAAGGGGGCTATGAGGTAAGTTTTGGAACAGGGATTTGGAGACCAGGTTCTGAAGAACTTGAGTTGGTAGGCTAAAGTGTTTGAATGTATTGGAGAGCTACAGAATAGTAGTGACACTGGACATTTTATGGGCATATGGGCAATAGAAAGTAGTGGATAAGAGTGTGTGGGCTTAAAGCAAAACTGAGTTAAAATCCTGGCTCTGCTGTGTACTAGCTTATTAGCCCTGAGCAAATTACTTAACCTGTCGGTGCTATAGTTCCCTCATCAATCAAATGGCAGTAATAGTTTTTAACTCACAGAGCCATTGTGAGGATTAGATGAATCTCTGTATTATATGTAAAGATACTGACAATCCTTGGCACGTGGTAAGCATTCTAAGTATTAACTGTTATCTTTTACATCACTTTTTAATTTTCACATTGCCATCATGTGTACTATTTTCTTTAATTTTCACAGCAACTCTGTGAAGTAGGTATTACTCTAGCCAGTCTAATGATGGACAAAGCAAAGCCAAAGAAGTTGTGTCATGGCAGAAATCCCCAGCTGACAGAACTGGTGTTATGGTTCTAAACTGTTTTACCTTGATTCTCTCTGAAATCCAGACACTAATGGAACAATGAACTAACATGCTAATAGTCAAATTTTAGGAAAATTATTTGGTGGGATTTTGCAGAGTGAAATGAAAATGGGAAAGAACCTAGAAGCAAATTTACAGGATCTTAAGATAATCTAGATTTAGGTTTTATTTACTGAAAAAAGTTCGTGTGACAGGGCTGTATCATTGAGAATTGCGAGAAAAGACAATAAAGGAGACATTATGAATATTCTAACTAACCAATTAATTGATATTCTTTCAGCTATATTTAAACTTGAAACAGATAGAAGTATATGGCCCTTGATAAGAATCTATCGGGGTGGCTTTCTTCTGATTGAATTCCTTTTCCTACTGGGCATCAACACGTATGGTTGGAGACAGGCTGGAGTAAATCATGTGCTCATCTTTGAACTTAATCCAAGAAGCAACTTGTCTCATCAGCATCTCTTTGAGGTAATCAAAGCAAGACGTAAGTCCCACAAATAGAGTTTGCATTAGCTATACAGCTGGTTTAGTGGGTACTGAAATCTGTCTTCTGCTTGAAGAGGACTGTAGACTTAATAACTAAACACTTCCTTACCTTTTTTTATTAAAGAGATTCTGAGTAATGGTAAAATAAAAATAATAATTTTTTTTCTCTTTTCTGCCCTTTATCAGATTGCTGGATTCCTTGGGATATTGTGGTGCCTGAGCCTTCTGGCTTGCTTCTTTGCTCCAATTAGTGTCATCCCCACATACGTGTACCCACTCGCCCTTTATGGATTTATGGTTTTCTTTCTTATCAACCCCACCAAAACTTTCTATTATAAATCCCGGTTTTGGCTGCTTAAACTTCTGGTAAGTCCAGACATTTGTGTATCATTGTTGGAATGGTGTGTTGGCTTCCCTCAAGGTGAAACCCAGGCTGCTGCAGTGTGCCGCTCCGGAAGGCATGGTTCACGCTGTAATCCGTGTGAGTGGTGCCAGCTTCAGAGACAGAGAATGCACTGCACCTGATGCCTCACAGCGCAGTGTCTCTGGCAAAAGCACACATGCATTTTTTTCCTCCAAAAATGGAGTATAAAGTGTCCAGATAGTGAAATGATTTTGCAAATTAATAATAATTCATGATTAATTCAGTTACTTCATTATACAGGTTATTCAATCAGCTCTGATAACATGTAGAACTCTATAAGTTTCCTTTTCTTAACAAGTAGTAAAATTTTATTTTTCTGTTTAATTTATGAAAGGTTGGTTCTCTAAAAGCATTAGGAATATTTTGCCAGATCAAGTTTAATTTGAGAAACTGACTTGGATGCTTTATTTATAATAAATTTTATTTCTTCTTCCAGTTTACTTATTTTTAATGATCTCAATGCAGTCTCAGTATTAAGATATAGAACAAAGTATTAGGATATGAAAAATGGTAGCTGTATTTTTTGTGTGTGATAGTGTAAAGTTAACTCTGGGAAAGGATTTCTGCTTACTTCTAAATTAAGCCAGCTCTATATTGAAAATCAATTTGGAATGCTTTCATATAATTATTTCTTAGATTATGACTTATAACTATAACAGAAGAATAAAGATTAGTGATTAAATTGATCATTCTCTATAAAAACTTCCAGAATTCCCACAATTATTATCTATTTTTTTGTTTTATATGCCCCTTATAATTAGCAGATTTTTATTGTTGTTGTTCTTAGCAATAAACTTCCTATATGTAACATTGACTAAATTTTTAAAAATCCGAAGACACAAAACATGGCCTTCCTATTGAAAAACAACATAATTAGCACTTAACAAAAGGCAACTTATGTTTGAATATAGGTGAGTATTTATAGCATTCAGGAAAAGAAAATGGACCAAATCTTGATTTTTTTCCCCACAAAATTGATTGTTTTTTATTTGTATTTTTTGTTTTTTATTTTTCCCACTAGGATTTTTTAAATCACAAATTGAGAACCTCCCTTTTTTCTTCCAATTTCATTAAATACAAATAAATAAAAAGTAAATAATTTCCTTTAAGAAAATAAGGCCTAACCACTAGGCCTAACTTTGGGGTTGGATTCTGAGTATGTAACTTCAATGTACAAGAGTATTTTGATAAGTCATAAGTATACCATTACCTTTAATAGGTTTTATCATTATCTCAAAAACATAATTTTTAGAGGATTTTTTAAGATGAATATTTGAGCCATTTTTATGTTTCTTGAAATCTATACTAAAATCATTTCCAGCTAGGAATTATTAGATCGCCTTTCTTATTTTGAGATTATTAGTCAAATTTATTACTAGATTTTGTAGAGTTTTAAAACTGTTATTATTTGGTTACAAGGAAATAACTTTAAGATTATAAACACCTATTGTTTTCTGCTTCAGTTATTGTGAACTCTCTATATAGTTATTTTGAAATAAAGTTTGAAAGACTCAGAAAACTCAGGTGTTAATATGATTGTATCACTGCAATAACGAAGTAATACAGTTATATGCATTGTATGCTAAGCGAGCATTTCCCCAGTGCATCCTTTTTTGTTTAAATAGTAAGCCATGATTCGTACATGACCAGTTACTCTTATTAGCAGAATGATTCCCCGTTGAGTAGACATTTATCTATGCATCTGCTGTGTGCTCATAAATGAGGACTTGTTGACGGAAGAGGTTGGCAATGCTAATATAACAAGAAATAACAGAATAATAAAATGTGCTATCAGAAGCAGTAAAATACAGAAGGAAGCACTGTGATTTGTTATAACTATAATAATAACTGTAAATAGGAAAATATTTATAGATAATTTTAATAGTAATTGACCTGTCAACTTACTTGAATTCAAATCTCACTGAGAAAACTTACCCTTAGACTTATTTCTAGTAAATTTATAAGAATGTTTCCATCTAGTTATGTTTCTCTGATATAGCTCTTTTTAAAGCCTCATCTTGAAGTAAAACTATATTTCCTTCTTTCTTCTTTAATTTTTTGTCAGAAAAGAACATGTCACTTGTCCATAGTGGTAGGCACTGGGCATCATTTACACCCATAATTAAATCTGAATCGAATTGATATATGCTACTTTCCTCCCCCAAAAAGCTTAAAAATTTTTTTATAGGCAATAGATTTATTTTTATACTAATGTTACATATCACATCAGTACAGTTTTTTGTTGGTGGGTTTTTTTTACATTCATGAAGTCATACATACATCCTCTCTCCAGATCAGTATTTGCTCTAATTGGAAATTCAATTAGGAAGCATAAACAGTGACTCAGATTTTCTGAACAAAAATATCTTATTCTTTTTTTTTAAGATTTTATTTATTTATTTTTAGAGAGGAAAGGGAGAGAGAAAGGAGAGAGAGAGAGAGAGAGAGAGAGAGAGAGAGAGAGAGAGAGAGAGAAACATCAATGTGCGGTTGCTGAGGGCCATGACCTGCAACCTAGGCATGTGCCCTGACTGGGAATCAAACTTGTGATGCCTGGTTCACAGCCCAAGCTCAATCCACTGAGCTACGCCAGGTAGGGCCAAAAATATCTTATTTGTACAGAAGGCTACTTAAAGTTTTTACATTAAAGTACTTTGCTATATAATTTGGGAATTGTTTTTTCCAATATTTTCTTTAATTGTATAGTAAAATTTTTATGTCTCTACTATAAGAATACATGAGAGACATGTTCTCATTTAATAATGTGCTGTTCTGGGCATCCTTTTAATAAACCGTGAAGTTGGAGCTGCTGTTAATCCACATTTTATAAATGAGGAAACCTAGATTTAAAGCAGTTAAATGAGGTTACAGAGTACGTAACAGAGACGAGGCTGGCAGTCTGTACTCTTACACACTACCATTGAACAGCTAGGCCTGGTAATTACTTTATCTACTATGTCTGACTCTGATTGAGTGGATCAAACTAATGAAATATAAAAATCAAATTTGGAAAGAATGTGATTATTCACAAGCCTATAAAAAGTAGAAATTAAAACTTCATTTCCTTAACCACTTATCTGCATTAACTTAGGAGATGTTAGCGTATATCCTTTGTATTAGTTCATTAGTGACTTTCTTTGTGTATATGGGTAAAGCATCAAATATCTAGAACTATCTCTAGCTTTCTTAATAACTATTACTCACTGAATTGTTATAATTTTAATCAAAATCAAAAAGTAGAAGTTGAAGGACCTTAGCTAGAACAAGAAAGGAAGAAGGAAAATTCTCACTCAAAAGGTGGAATTCAGATAAATCTAAGATGAATTTGACTATATAAATGTTAAGGAATTAAGTGGGATCTATTTATTTTCTACCGCCACCCCAACCTTATCTCTGACTGAGCTACTTGCTCCCTTTTTTTATTTCCAGGGTATTTTGTATGTGTATCTGTAATAGCACTTACTACACAGTACTCACATTATTTCTTTAGGTATTTATTTGCCCAGCCAGACTGTGATTTTGCCCAATCATCATTTTGAGGTCTTTGAGAGTAGAGACTATTTTTTAATTTATCTCTACACCTCCACAATCCCTGATGTATAGTAAATACTTAATAAGTCTTTGTTAAATGCATGAATGACTGTAATTATATTATCTTTCATTAGTTTTATTAAACCAACATTTATTACCCCCTTCTTTCTTCCTTTCTTCATCTCTCTTTTGTCCCTTCCTCCCAGTTTCTGTTTTCATGCCACTCCCTTCCTTTTTTCAGTCCCATCCCTCTGTCTCTTAGTTTCTTATTTAATGCATTCTCCTCCTCTTCTGCTCTTATGGAGGCTTTCTGTGTTGGCCAGGTTTTGAGGCTGGGTTTGGCAGACTGTGAGAGTGATGGCAGTATGTCTCATGTTAGTGAGAAATAAAAAATTTGTCCTAGGCTACCAGTTTCACAAAATGACTAGAAGTTGAGTTAGACTTTCTGATCCTTTGGTGTATTCTAAATTATCCTCTTATTTCTGTCTCAAGTCTATTCTACACCCTAGAGTTCCTTAAAATACTGTATAAACTGGTAGCAGAACCTTTTTGTGCATAAATAGCTAACATCTCAAACCCTAAAGTGCCCCCCACCCCCAAAAAGAGTTTGCTGTACCTGGAGCATATGGTAGCAGACAGTATATATAGCTTGTCTCTCTGGCTTGTTGTACAACTTACTGAAAGACTGAGTCAGTGATCAGGAGATCAAGCCATGGACTCAAAACATATCAGCACAAGAATATAATGTCTCAAAGTCTGTATTTTGTCCTGTAGACAGCTGTTTTAACTTCCAAGGTTCCAAGGCAATACCTGTCACAGGATTTGACATCCAGGATTGATTCATAATAAAGCCATTTATCTCCCTGAAATAATAAAGGGAAATATTTAGAGAAAGAATAGAAAAACAAAACAAAACAAAACAGCCAAGTCTGAGAAGAAAAAGCTAGGTCTCAGGCTGAATATGTCTACTAAGTGAATATAGCTAGATGGCAGGAGAGCTACAGATTTATTTTTTCTACTTCGAATTCCTTGTTTTAGGAGTGCATTATCACCTGTACTAGATGGAAAGGGTCCGACAGGGTGAAGATTAAAGCTCCCTTTATCCTGTCTTCACTTCACTCCAGTCCTCTCAAGGCATTCTGCACAAATTGAGGTTATTTCTGGTGATTACATTAGTATCTAATCATGCCTCTCTCTGCAGTTTGTGGATTTCTCCACTTTGCAGTGGTTAACAGGTTTCCATCGAAGAGGTCAGGATAAGTTTGTCGTAGGTCTTTTGTAAAATGGGGATATGAGAAATACCTATTTCATAGAATTGTTACAGTTAGTGGATTATGAGAAATGCATTATGAGAAAAATACACAGCATGGATTAGTGCTCAATACATATAACCTGAATTCATTGTTTTCATTAACAGTAGGGTATGGGCTGATTTTTGTGGTATAATTTCAAGACAAATAAAGTCATCACCATGGCATTAATGAAATGAAAGTGATTTTGGTTAGAGAAGGTACGCTCCAAACCGTGAGATGAACCATCCTTTCCCTTACTACCAATACTTCGTAGGCGAGGGAGTGCCAAGCTTCCATCCCAGCTAAGATGGGAGAATATTTCAGAAATTATCATAACACATGGGTCTCCAGCAAAATTTACCTTAAAGCCTAATGTTAGACATCCTGTCAGCACGTCTACCTTCTGCCACTCTCTGCTTTTGACTTCAGCTCTTCACACTCTCTGCTTTCTGTTTTCTAAGTGTAGCTATTTCTGCCTTTCCCCACCCCCTTTGTTTCCTTTCTTAGTTATGCGTTCAGTGCATTTCCTTTACTACTAATTCTCAACCTAGCCACTGTTGCCAGGTTTCTGTGTTTATGATTGATTCATTGGTTTCCATTTCATCAGCTAAAGTAATCGTGCTGCGTGGTCAAACATAAATTAGAGAAATTTAATATACATTTTCTTGTTTCTTTCTCTGTGTTCCAATTTTTCTTTCTTTCTCCCAGTTTCGAGTATTTACAGCCCCCTTCCATAAGGTAGGCTTTGCTGATTTCTGGCTGGCCGATCAGCTGAACAGCCTGTCAGTCATATTGATGGACCTGGAATATATGATCTGCTTCTACAGTTTTGAGCTCAGATGGGATGAAAGTGGGGGCCTGTTGCCAAATACTTTACCAGGTAGGGTATGAATGTGTATCCACACTACTAAACTGCCGATGCAAACCAAGAAATACTGGGAATGGGAACTGAGACATATAAGAGCACGGTGAAAACTCATCCAGTAATATTACAAACTTAATTAAATGTACTTGGCACTCCTAAAAATCTCTATCTGATATTATTTGTCTCTTAAATTATATGTTATGAATTTAGCCATTTATTTGCCAAGAGATTTACAACTTACACTTAAAGAATTCTAAAAGTAAAATATTCTGGTACATTAGTAGTTATATCACAAATGCTTTAGTGACAGTTGCCTCCCTGTATTGCTTTTTAATGGTCAAAAATACTGATTATTGAGAGTTGTTAGGTCAAGTGCTCTGAGAAAGCCATATGTCTGTTTTTTATCTTACTGGGAACCTTGTTTTTCTGCTGGCTGTTTTTTCCCCACTCGCAGTTTGTACCAGAAGTTCAAGATATAAAGGAACTTTGCCTTAATGACAAAGACCAAATTTAGACAGCTTATGTAACATCCAACTAACAAAAGTTAGTGAAGCCAGTGCCAACACATTTTCATTGATTGCCAGCAGATGACAACTGCATTATAGGTTGATCACGCTATAATACATTCCCAGAATTTGAAGAAAAATTGATTTATCAACTCCATTCTTTTCATTTAAAAATACAAACTGCTCTTCATGTTTTAGAAGGCGGAGTATAGATGCATGAAAAACCTATAGCAGATATATTATAGTGGCTTGGAGTTCATGAAATTGGAGTCATCAGTGACATTTATTTGTAGGCTTTCCAGATGTTTCCGATACAGGGCTAATTGTTTTCCCTTTGACTAATACACTCTTCTTCTAATTTTGTTATGGTTTTACCACGCTGCAGAGAAATGATCCCAGAAGAGATAGTCAGAAACCTGAGATGGCAGATTTGCCCATTAGGTCCTTCCTATGTATTTTACCTTCTCTCCTGGGCTTATTTGCCACTAAAAAGATTAAGAATAAAGTAGGTACAGAGAAGAAAGTGATTCTGAAACCCAGGCTTCTTGATTTTATGGACTTGCTGGTAGTTACAATATATGACTAAATGATGTGAACAAGTTATTTTTTTAAATTGTAAATTTTTCTTCTTTGAAATCTTCACAGAGCGAGAAATTTGCCACAAATACTCATATGGTGTGCGGGCCATTGTTCAGTGCATTCCCGCTTGGCTTCGCTTCATCCAGTGCCTGCGCCGGTACCGAGACACTAAAAGGGCCTTTCCTCATTTAGTTAATGCTGGGAAATACTCGACAACTTTCTTCATGGTGACATTTGCGGCCCTTTACAGCACTCACAAAGGTATTCAATGATTGCCTCTGAAGAGATTTTTCAAAACCCAGATTTTCGCTCCTTAAGTCTGTTTCTAACTCTGCATACTTTTCCACTGAAATTCCAGTCCCCTCAGCTGTACTCGTTTGTTCTTGAACAGCTTTAGTCTCATTCCAATATTTACTGACAGGTACCATTAAAAAGAATCAGAGTCTTCTGGAATAGAAGGATTTGTGATAACATTTAAAATCCTGAATCATGTTTAATGGGTTCAGTCTTTGGATACCTTGGGTTTTCATTTGGTTTTTTAGACTTGTTCATTAATGAGGTTGGGAAATGCTAGGTGAAAAAGAGTCCCTCTGGCAATCATGTATATTTTTAATCGCTTTCCTTTACCAAGTTGTAGGGAGTGTTTCCAGCCCATTTAACTGCAAATTGAGTTCTCTGATCTCTCTAGTTTCTTATCTCCATGACAACCAGTTATTACTTGAGATTGCTCTTATGTTGGGAGGAGAAAAAAGCTTTTAGTTCTGAGCCACATGCAGTCACAGCTTTTGAATTTTTAACCTTTTTTGAAGAACTGTCTATCAAAGATCTCACTTCCTTTTACTAAAATGCATCCTTTGTCTATTTAAATCAGTATCAGCCCACACCTTAGAGCCTGCGCTCTCATCAGTGGGCTATAAAGAAATGCTACTAATTGAAATTATTACCATTCTTTTCAAATACTTTGGTAAATTTTGTTGGTAATTTTTTTTTGGAGACACTGTATTTTAATAGCCTTAGTGTTCTAGAACTGCCACTTACCTCAAGTATATCTAATGGTCATGAAAGATTAGGGAGGTGGTTTCTTCGTAAGGCTTGCGATTTGGTCTCCAGAACATTGTAACACATTTCCATTTTTTGCAGTAGATTATGTGATCACAGTAATATTGATAATGCAGCCAATAATCCTACCACTAAGTAGGCACTTTTGTTAGATAAGCATTTAACTAAGTACCTAAGTGAAGAAAGCACATCCTCAAAATTCTTATAATTTTAAGTCTTGATGAGGAATGTTGTTACTCAGCTGGGCATGCATCATGATTTGGTTATTACTAGAGAATTTGTGAATTAGGCAACTGATTTGATCCATGGAACCAGATGGCTCAAGAACCTTTTACTTTTCTCCCATTTTGGATAAAAGTAAGTACTGTTTTTTGGTAGAAATTTAGGGCTCATCTTCAACTATTGACACCATCGATTAAGAAGTTGAAATCTGAATTCCTCAAATCTGCAAACACTCCAATTTAAAAACCTAAGGCTTGAAGCAGTGGTTTGGACACTATTGTAGTTTCAGACTTTTTTTGCTCATATACCCCTTCAAAGAATTTTTTTTTTAAGTCTTTTTTTTAATATTTTATTTATTTATTTTTAGGGAGGGAAGGGAGGGAGTGGGAGAGAGAAAGAGAGAGAGAGAGAGAGAAATCAATGTGCGGTTGCTGGGGGTTATGGCCTGCAACCCAGGAATGTACCCTGGCTGGGAATCGAACCTGGGACACTTTGGTTCCCAGCCCGCGCTCAATCCACTGAGCTACGCCAGCCAGTCAAAGAATTTTTTAAACTATAATTTTACTATTTTAAACCACTGTTATTTAAATCATTAATTCTTGGACATTTTTAAGTTTACACCTGAAATTTTGCATCTTAAGTTTAAACTACAAATATGTAGTTTCCATTATACTTTAAATGTTCACATTTTAAAACAAAACTGCTAAATGTTTTACTAAATGTTTCCAAGTAATCTAAATATAAAAGTATGATACTCACCATGATTTATTTTTTAAATGAAGCTATTCTTTTAATAGTTAATGAAATTTACATCTATTTCCCACTCAACTTTACTTTAAATTATTAATTTCCTATTCTAGGAAGTGCTATGAGATTCAATTTTTTCTTTCTCTCTTGTAATTATCATTACCCTGATTATTATCTGTAGTTGATCAAAATAATATTATAGCCCTGGCTGGTATAGCTCAGTGGATTGAGTGCAGGCCTGCAAATGAAAGGGTCGCCGGTTCGATTCCCAGTCTAGGGCACATGTCTGGGTTGTGGGCCAGGTCCCCAGTGGGGGGGTGTGAGGGGGACAACCACACATTGATGTCTCTCTCCCTCTCTTTCTCCTTCTTTTCCCCTCTCTCTTAAAGAAAATCTTTAAAAAAATTAATATACTACAAATTTTAATAATTATTACACATCTCTTAATGAAATAAATTTATATAACTTGCTAATATTGTATTTTTCAGTTTTTACATAAGTTAACTCTGAGAAACTTTGTTAACTTTGCTATATAGATGAGAATCGAAGTTCTGTTGTTTCAGTATCACTCCATTTTTGGGGGACAAGTCCTGAGTTTTGTGACCAAAAAAATTGCATAGTAGTTTATCATCAATAATTATTTCTAGTGATCTGTCAAGATTTTTTGTTGAAAATAAACTGAATGAAGTAAAGAATTGAACATAAACTGAGTGAAAAAGGATTTGTTAACTAGTCGCTAGAGCCATTCACTTTCTGTTTCTGGACAGTATAGCAAAAAGCTTGTGTGGGATCAGTATGGTACTTGATTTTAGAGGCTCCTTGATTAGCCAGACATACTCGAGAAACAATCAGGGAAATCAAAATACTGTTAATTTTAGTAATGTTTACCAATGCAGTGTTTTTTGATGAAATGCTTTTACCCTGTCACATTCTTTAAATGTATTTTTTTGGGGAGGGGGGACATCTTGGGGCTGCAGGTAATACTCATTCAATTTATAGAGAATATCTGCCATATACCCTAATTAGAAAACCAGTCGGCCATATTAGAAAAAGTTTTTATTTAAATTAATGTATTTAGATACACTCCTGTATAAACACCTCACTTCTTAATTCTAAATTAGGGGCATAAGGGAGTAGGTAAGTGGGTGCAGAGAGAGCAAGCATCATTCAGTAAGTATTATTGAGAATATTCTATGAATCAGGCTCTGCTGGGCACTAAGAATAGAGCAACAAACAAAACATGATTCTTATCCTTAATAATTTATACTCTATTAGGGGAAATAATCAAGTTAAAAAGGATTAATTCATTATACAACAGTTCGACTATACTTAAAACTTCTGAACCGTACACCTAGAAATGGTTAAGGTGGTAAATTTTATACTTATGTATTTTTTACCATGATAATAACTTTTAAAAAGACATTGAAATAAAGAGTAAAGAGATAAGTAAAGTACCAGAAACACCTACATACAGCACAAGTCCCTAACACAGCCTCGAGGCCTCTCAGGATGGGGGTACAGAGAAGACATCCCAGAGGTTGAGCTGTTTATATTGAGTTAAGGAGGGTTCCAGTTATCCCATTAGGTGTTTTGCCCAGGGCAGTGTAATTTGTGAGTGGTGGAAGTGTTAACCGTTTCCCAGTTCTGTTGTCTTCAGCCTAGGGCTGTTTTTATTTCTCCCCAAAGCCACACCTTTAAAATGTAAATAATAATATCTGTTCCATTTACTTCACAATTTGTAAGGATTAAATAAGGTAATGTACCTGAAATCACCTTATGTACTCTAACTGAACTACATAATTGGAATTTATCATTAAGTGAAATATAATTCTCTTTGCTATATAGAGCTGGTATATGTATTTGGAAAAGCCTTTGTAAGAGAAACCCTTTTGATCACCTGGCAGGGGGCCGGGGGGCTTGTATAGGGCAAGTATCAATTAGAAATATGTTTGACTTTTTGTTCAAATAACACATGTTTACTCACTGAACTTGATTTACACACCCACGGTAAAAATATTTTTGAAGCAAGCATTTTTTAGACAGACCATTGGGTATATAGCTTAACCATATCCCTAAATTTAAAGAAAAACACTTTTCATAATGCTGCATGTTAAGTATTCATATCACTTTTTTTGTTATTGTTTTGTTTTACCAAAAAAGCTAGAACAGAGGGGGCAGAAATTGAAAAGACAACTCAGAGTGATGACAGAAAATTTGATATTGAGTGATTATCAAAAGTATTACTCGATTTCTGTTGCTTTCTTGGGCAGTATTCCAAGAGAAAAGGCATCAGAAAACATACTTTCAAAATAATCATTGGCCAAAAGAATAGAATCTGTATGGTTAATGAGGCACATCTTTTCCTATGGAGTGTGGATGTACTATTATGGCAAAGGGTAAGTTTTATGAGGGAAGAAGTGTAGAAGATGGAGAAGTAGTAACCTTGTTCAAATTCAGGGATCTGAGTCTTTTCAGAGCACTAGCCTGCAAGAGTTATCATAGTAATAGCATTATCGGGGGTTAGGCATTTTTAAGATTTTTTTTCTCAAAGTTATCTCTTATGTTATCTGCATACTTTGTAAAAATGGAGGCACAAGAGTTAACTCTGTACCTAGAGTCATTTTTTTAACAATTAGGGAGGTAGCTTAGGCCCATTTTAAGGAGACTATGATAATATGGCAGATAGCCCTCACTTGTTGCCATAAGAAGGAAACATATTTTAAACATTTCAGTATATTTTCTTTTCCGTCATTGATTTTAGAAACAAAGGAATGCATTTAGCAGCCAATCTCCATATTTTAAGAATTCACATCATCACAAGCTTAAATTTGATGCCAAATCCTTCAGGTTTTTTGTTAGAATTGGGATTAGAAGAGACAGGAAAGTGTTTTAAATGGTTTTTGTGTGTCCTTGAGGTTTCTTGGCTTTGGCAAGGAAAATCCTGTGGGAGGTACCGTAATAGAAAAAGCCATTGTGTGGTCACTTCTACTGCATTGATGGGGAGAAAGCACTTCATTAGGTTTTCTGTTTTTCATTTACAGTTTGTAACATTCTAAAACATTCACGCATTCCCAGTGTATTTTACTCTCTGCTGTTCTCCAAATATATAAAATAATAAACTTCTTTTTAAAATGCTTCATATTTTACTTTAAACTTTATTGTTTTCTGCTCTTAGACTTTTAAAGACACTTGGGGAAAAAAGAGGTTTTCTGCTGACTTAAAAGCTGAGTTCA